TTCGTGTTGTTTGTTGGATGTTGTTTTAATGGTTTTCTTAGTAGTTTCTGATGTGTTTTTGTTGTATCTATCTAAGTTGAGTAAAGCACGGAGATAATATTGATCAAAACATTTTCGGGAGTAAGATGTCAGAACAAATAAGTTTGATTCCTTTACCTACAGTGATAGTGACAGAATAATTTCTTAGAATTTAATTCCATGAAATGATACCGAAGTCAGTAAACTACAAACCACTTAGACCCAAACTCGAAGCATAAAACAAACCTGTAATTTGATTTGAAATATCCTTTTAAGAATTACCATAAGAATGTCGATCCAGAAAAAGAAACAGCATTATTCGTTTTATGATTAGTTAAGTACTGGGTGGGAGCAATTATAGTCTGAAAAATTGCCTGCCAATAAATATAAATAGTATACATATCGTATTAAAATGTTTATACTTTCGATATTTCTTCAATGGGAGTGTTTTATAAAATTAATGTAAACTTAATATTTCCAATTATTTAAGACGAAATGGAAACTGAGAATAACACAATTGTCACGATTTATTTACCATGCCTCACTAAACAACAATGTTTCCCAGTATACCTGAGCTTTGTGTAGCATATCTCATTAAAGAAAATGTTGTGATATATAATGTGTATACAGCATACTTAATAATACTAAATAATTTTAATCTATATATTCAAACTATTCCGATGTAGGATATAAATAAAAGCAAACGTAGATTGATTGATGGTGTGTCAAACTAGTATTTTTTATACATTACTTAATTATGGAATAAGGATAAATCTTATTGAAGGTAACTAGGGTTGGATTATAATGCTTTTGTTGACATTTAGAAAACCTGAGATACAATATTTATAGAATAAACAGTGAATCTAATAGGTTTTTGTAACAGATATCTAAAGCAACCTGATTTTGCAATTTCAAAAAAGAAAATACGCACAAAGCTGAAATGGCAATAACGTATCACAAACTACAAATAAGTTGAAGTGCAAAACATACACGCAGAAGTAAATTAGTTTTCAATGTGTTGAGTAAAAGTAAAAGTTATTGGATTTGTAAGATGCGGTGCTACGACAGCATGTTGATGTTGCAGCTCTGCAACACATCAAACAGTACGACGTTGTTTGATATAAAAACAACAAATGCATCATGGCACTAATTCGAAAACAAATCCATGGTGGCACTTAGTGTGCATAAATGTTCCTGCAAGTCATGTTCAAACAAGAAATATTGGAAAGAAGTCATGAACAAATATTTTATATAAAAATCACTATAACTTTTTAGTTGTTAATTTAAAAGGTGATACTCCCCTTTGTTATATGTCATAAATACTAATACAATATCACGGTGAATACAAAGTCTGCTACCAAACACGTGGATGCAATTTGTGCAAGAAAACTAATAGACTCTCTGAAATATAGCTTCAAAGTCAACTGGCTGTCATCTCGTTGAAGACCTTGTCTACCATGATTGTTTGCATCTAGCTAATTTGTCACATTATAATTACATCGGTTCTTTTCATTCACAGCAATTTCATTCATTTTCTGAATGCAAAGATCGATTACATTCGTAGCAAAATGGTTTCAGGCTGATTGTTTTATAAATATTATTTTTGTCGTATTGGTCTTTGGGATTACAAACACTCGACTTTTATAATTGTTAGAAAATATCGACATCGAATTGAATTAATTAAATAACTCCGAAACATTGAGAATTCTCTTGATATTATATGGCAAATAACGTGCTCGTCGACCTAGTATCCCAGTCGATATATCTAAGATTTTCATTTACGGACTATGCTTTGGGACAACACAAAAATGGCATTTAAAGATTTACTATGCCCCGTGGGATTGAACAGATTCTTCAAACGGTTATCATCAACTCCTGGAGACAGTATATGATCGAGTCGATTCAGGAACAACATAATCAACCATGCATGATGTCCCAGTCACGTGATTCGGGCTTGTGAATTGATCGAGATTGCTTTGGGCCTTTGGGTTGAAAGAAAAAATACTGATTTGTCTAATTACTGAATCAAAACACCTAATCGTGTTACATACAAATTACCTTCACGGAAAGTACTGAACCACAGCGGTATGTGGAAAGCAAACGGCATGGAGGAAACATAAACGCTCTTATCGTAATGAGACTAATTATTGATTGCCCATTTCTAGATTAACAGGAATGCTCGTCTTTTCACATTTTCGCCCTGACTTTGTGACCAATTGACTTTGTAGCAAAACTGCACGGACATCATTGATGTTAATAAAAAATAATAAAAACGTTGATGTCGTTTTGCAAAGAAATTAGTAAAAACGAAGGATGTTATTTCTTCATATTGCAAAGCATATTTCATAGAGTGATCACGTTTTCGGATCGATCTTTGCTTGGCTTAATAGACAAAACCTGTTACGAAAATTTGATCCTCATGATTGAAATCTTCAAATAGAAAGTAGCAGAGTATAATCTCTCATGGGCCGTCTTATACAAACGTGTCACTGTGATCTATCTCTGAAGGTTTGATAGTAGATATATAGTGTCACATTTGGGGTAATTACTATAAAAACTGGCTTGGCAAGTTTATCCAAAAGTAATATGATGTCACCTTCGAGAAAATTACCATAAAACTTAGTTAACTAGTTTGATAGAATGATCACAACTTTTCCGCAATTACCATTAAGGCAGTTGCCACGTTTAATAGAAGTAATGCGCTACAGCCTCCTCTGAGGTAATAACAACAGAAATTAGTTGCCAGGTTTTGTTAAATGTCAGATTTACGTAATTAAAACTCAGCTGCCAGGTTTGAACAGTAATATGATATCAGATTCGGTGATAACCATTAAAACTCAGCTTCTAGGTTTGAAACAAGTAATATGATATCAGATTCCGTAATAACCATTAAAACTCAGCTGCCAGGTTTGAACAGTAATATGATATCAGATTCGGTGATAACCATTAAAACTCAGCTTCTAGGTTTGAAACAAGTAATATGATATCAGATTCGGTGATAACCATTAAAACTCAGCTTCTAGGTTTGAAACAAGTAATATGATATCAGATTCCGTAATAACCATTAAAACTCAGCTGCCAGGTTTGAACAGTAATATGATATCAGATTCGGTGATAACCATTAAAACTCAGCTTCTAGGTTTGAAACAAGTAATATGATATCAGATTCCGTAATAACCATTAAAACTCAGCTGCCAGGTTTGAAACAAGTAATATGATATCAGATTCAGTGATAACCATTGAAACTCGATTGCCAGGTTTGAAACAAGTAATATGATATTAGATTCGGTGATAACCATTGAAACTCAGTTGCCAGGTTTGAAACAAGTAATATGATATCAGATTCGGTGATAACCGTTAAAACTCAGTTGCCAGGTTTGAAACAAGTAATATGATATTAGATTCGGTGATAACCATTAAAACTCAGTGACCAGGTTTGAACAAGTAATATGATATCAGATTCCGTAATAACCATTAAAACTCAGTGACCAGGTTTGAACAGTAATATATAATAATAGGATTTTATTAGTACTGATGCCCTTTTAGGGCCAAACGTACATCCAATATACAATTTTCAATAACAGTAAATATAGGCAATAAAGTAAAGAAAATAGGATTACATTCTTCAAATGACATATAAAATGTTACTTTGATATAAGAATCCTGTCTCTACCAATCATTAGATACTTTATCATGTCAGCAGATTCTTTTAATATGATCCCCTCACTCGTCAATAGAAAAATTGTCTTTTGGTGGTCATTCATGTTTTTAAAATTACGACACAGGTTTTCAAGTTTTTCAATATGGGATTTTCTGATAAACTCCAATTTTTTACATTTGAATAGAATATGATATTAGATTCGGTGATAACCATTAAAACTCAGTGACCAAGTTTGATAGAAGTAATATGATATCAGATTCGGTGATAACCGTTAAAACTCAGTTGCCAGGTTTGAAACAAGTAATATGATATCAGATTCCGTAATAACCATTAAAACTCAGTGACCAAGTTTGATAGAAGTAATATGATATCAGATTCGGTGATAACCGTTAAAACTCAGTTGCCAGGTTTGAAACAAGTAATATGATATCAGATTCAGTGATAACCATCAAAACTCAGTTGCCAGGTTTGAACAGTAATATGATATTAGATTCGGTGATAACCATTAAAACTCAGCTTCTAGGTTTGAAACAAGTAATATGATATTAGATTCGGTGATAACCATCAAAACTTAGTTGCCAGGTTTGAAACAAGTAATATGATATCAGATTCAGTGATAACCATCAAAACTCAGTTGCCAGGTTTGAACAGTAATATGATATTAGATTCGGTGATAACCATTAAAACTCAGTTGCCAGGTTTGAAACAAGTAATATGATATCAGATTCGGTGATAACCATTGAAACTCGATTGCCAGGTTTGAAACAAGTAATATGATGTCAGATTCCGTAATAACCATTAAAGCTCAGTTGCCAAGTTTGAAACAAGTAATATGATGTCAGATTCCGTAATAACCATTAAAGCTCAGTTGCTAAGTTTGATAGAAGTAATATGATATCAGATTCGGTGATAACCATTGAAACTCATTATTAAAGTCAGTTGCCAAGTTTGAAAAAAGTAATATGATGGCACCTTAAGGTAATTACAGATGCCAACAAATGTAATGAAAGTATGAATTAATTAAATCAAATGCAGGAATATTAGTTTTCTCACAGCTCTCACGTTACATTGACAGAATGTTCAAATACTTCTAAAACACTTCTGCACGCAATTTGAGAACTACCTGAATTGATATTTCAACATATTGTTTAATATGCCTCTTGAACATAGGCGTTGAAAATGTACACACGATTGACTTTATATCCTGAAAGGTTTTCAAAGATGTTGAACGAATGTCGAGGTTACGGAAACACATTTTCAACACAACATGTCAAACTAATGGCTTTCTATCATAACACTCTTTGGACTAATGTATACTTACCAGCATATTTGTTTCCGACTTGTTCTGTTAAGATACTTTTGAAAGTAGTTGAACTCTGATTGTCCGGCAATTTGAAATAGTCCACCTTGAAACCTTCGTCTTCAAGACCATAGTAAACTGCCTCAATAGTCAGATGGCATAATCCTATCAAGACATTGTCCTGGCCGTCTTTTTCATACAAAATTTTCAATTTTTTCCATTTAAAAACATCCGAGACAGTTTCAAAGAACTGAGTAAGGGTGTGAAAGTTGGCGGTGCTAGCTCGAGTCAACATGGGATAGGTGATATTGCGCTCTTTTCTAAACGCTCTGGCCAGTCCCCCGACTGTGATCATTGGGATGTTCCAAAAAGATAGTTGTCGTGCAACAGGTGCTAATGAGAAATCACAAACTGGACCAAAGAAAACATCGACCATATCTGACATGTAGAAATTTATTGCTTCATTCATGCCATGCATTTCGCTACATTGAGAGTCGCCATACTCTACTGAAAGCTTACCCCTTGGTCTAAGGATGTCGCGATTAACATCTGCAATAGCAATTTCCAACGCTGGACGCACCCTTCCAATTGAAAACAATCGTGTCGGGTCCTGGGGCAGCACAGTTGCTATTCTGACGTTTAATGGTTCCCCTTTGGTTTGTTTGGAACTAGTTGTATCTCCTACCAGCTCCATTAGCAGAACTAACCCCAGTGATGCTACAAGTCGCATATCCATAATAAACATTGTATTTCAATAAAACTTCAATAAAATCGTCGTAGATATAACCCTCCAACAAAACAAACCTGAACTACGTTTCCCAGGTGTAGTCAGTCATCATCGGCAAGCGTAGTTTTAGATAAATAATTCGGGGCGTATAATTTGCACTGTAAATCTTAGATTACTGTAGAATTACTCCAATTTTCCATTTTATTGCAATACCTTCTGCTCTGAAATATGTTAACAACCCAAGCCAACTCACTGATCAAGATGAGAATTCTGAATCCACAGATGCAGTCGCGCTAAATCCTGCTCGCTATGCGCATTAATAGCATCTACCTATAAATACAGCAACTTCAAATCGATAGTAGATGTTTTCCAAATTGCTTGATTTTCTTATGCCCCGTTAGCAAATTCATTTCGGTTTCAAATTTCGGAGTCATCAATCCAAAATTAAGCAAACTCTTCTATTGATATCTGATAGTTACCCCGAGCAAAAGCTAATCCTCCAAGTTTGATCGATTTCCACGGAAGTCGGCAGAGAAAGATTGTTTTCTTGGTATTACCTTCAATTATTGTGACTTTTACTTATTTAAGTAAGTATTATGCTAAACCCTTTCTCCGTATTATTGCTTATTGGCCAAATTGTCCTATATTCGAATTGAGCGTAGATATTTGGCATGTAAGCCTTTGATGATGAAGATTCTTCCTAAGTTCCAGGCGTCCTGAATTGACTATCATTGCACGATACAGTCATATAGCATTCAGCTTATTAAATTGGTTATTTTCATCTTACGAACCCATCTACGTTTAACTCTTTATGTTTATCCTCACAAACAATAATCTATCTCCTGTCATGTAAACGGGCAACCAAATGGCATACTCTGAATACTGAGATTTCGTAACAGGCTCCTATCCTTGATTTGTTTTTACAAAATATCGCCCATGTTCCCTGTCATGAAAGGGCCAGGTTGTATCTGTTATTAGTTTCTATTCAAGTTTGTTTAAAATAACTTGATGTATATTAAACCAGAATGGCTGAGTGTTTATCTTTAGGTTTCATGCTCAGCATAAATAAAAAAGTTATTCTCTCTAAAGGACCATTCAAGCACTCTTATAGTTATAGCATTTTTATTTAGTTTTATTGCATAGTTTACTTTCTGACTGCGGGGATCAGGTCAAATGTACGCGACCACCATTAGTTATTAGAGGAAGTATAAAAAGCATCGCCTTCTGTGTTTTCGCAAGGGAGGATATCCATTAGTTTCATTGTATCTTAACATAAAGGGGAACATTTGTAAAATATTTACAATTCAGATGGAACCAGGTGAATGTCAGCAAACGGCGAAGCTTCTGAACGGAAATCTAAAACATACTAATGTGTTCGTAAATGTTTGTGAAAGTGAAAACGTTCCGATAAATGTAAATAATAACAGTTTGACTGATATTAGATTTATATTGACCCGATGTCAATTTCACATCTTCATCGCATAAAATAAATACTGTGTAAACACAAACAGTCACAAAGTCTTGAAATACACCATGCGTCGTTCATTCAAAATAAAATAATTTGAGTGCAAAGGATTAATGTACATTTCCCTCGACAGAAGTTGTTCCATGAACGTGCCCAGGTGGTAGTATACTGAAGTGTGGTCACTAAGCATTTCGCAATATTTCCATATGATTTATGGCATCCTCATCAAAAGTTGTTTGTCTTAAATATTTCATTTTTCTATCCTTAACCTTATTCAATATTGGTTTAAAACGGAAAACGCTCGGAAATCAGACTACCTGCGATACACGCTGCTCTCAACGATGGTATCTAACCTACACCTATTGTTCAGTTCTTTACCATTAACTTTCCGTAAGAAGCATTCACAGGGGCGATCTAGTTATGGTCTTCCTGTGTACTCGGTTTCGTATTAAGTACATGACAAGTTATATACCTATAATGTATTTTAGAATGTCAACAACATGTCAAAGTGTCTCAAATTTTAACCATTATTTCTCATTTTTGGTTTGTGTAGTTTTGATTTAGAGGTTGAGTTGACCAGTAAACAGCTCACCTTTTGATTTAGACCATAAAATTTCCTTCTGACTAAAGACTAAATGCAAATAGAAATTATTTTGATATTCGTCAATTTGGTCAATTTGACCAGACTTGAAACCTAGATATAAAACATGCTTTTAAATATCGTTTATCAACTGAATATTTAGTTTGGTTTGAACTTTTAGATTATTTTGAAATGTGACTCCTAGGTAGAGCAGATTCCCCATAGCCAATGTCATAAAATCATGAGCCTGATATTATCTTTTCATGTATTTGACAGATAATTTTTCCTTTTACTGGACATCACCTAACTAAAAAAAGTTATTCTACATAAAATTGATCCGATAAATCCAATGAATATTGAAGTTTAGTGATTTTTTCCGATACCTGCCATGATCCGCGATGTTATTAAACCCGAAATCGCATTGTGTCGATACATGGAGTATACGTAACGTGACACTATAAATTTTATACTTAAACAGTCTTATTTCCTATTATGCCACATGCGGAGGTTCCTGCATGAGTACCCGAGCATAAATTCTTGAAGAACTTTGATAATTCTTCTTTATTGAGTTGAAGTCGAGCTATTAGTATACATTTTTCAAAGCAAATCGTGAGCAGGTAAGAATATTAAAAAGAGCGACTCTAATATGCTATGTTTTCTACTTTCTATTACAAAACGGAGTAAACATTTGGGTAAAACAGCTTTAAAATATACAAGAATGATTTGAGCAAGATTCGAGAAATGAAAGATGGATAGACATTGACCTCGACCTGTGCGAAATGTGCCCCAACGGATTGGTAATGAGGACTAATAATATTTGCAATCGTGTCACCGTGTTCGGGGTTTTCAATGGTATTGTTGCAACTGGCACCATTATCCTGTTACGTTCTCACCTGAATTGGTTTAGGCTTCTTGGGACTAATATGAAATGATGGCGTTTGCGTGATGATAGTATACACAATGACAAATTGTGAAATCCAACAGCAGACGTTCAATTTGATGCAAACCTTTTAAGAGATTATCTTTGATATCATGAGCTATAAGATCATGAGTGTTTTCTCATATTGATATTTCAAAGAGGAAGACTTACGTGTTAAGATTGCATCCGGCAATTGAAAACCATAGAGATCTCCAAGATGTATCTATTTCCCTACTTTGTGGTTCTCAATCTTTGTCTGATTAATAACAGATATCATACTATGATGCGTTCGTATTTATTGTAACGTGATTTTCTTTTAACGTTGCTTCTACAGATTAGAAATGGATATGAAGCCCTGATATGTCAATCAAAGGATGGAAACAGTAATTAGAGGTATTTGGAACAACAGAGATCTATGAAACAAAAAACACTTTGTTAGGGAGCAAGATATGAGAGCCTGAGGGATAACTGTACAAATTGAAAAGTATCAATTCAGATTGACTTTGCAAATTGATTATCTGAGTTATCTTGCTTTCATGATTCTAAGAATTCGAATAAATAATAATACAACACGACTAAAATGATGTTCTAGACCAGACGTTGACAGTCAACCGAAAAGTGATGTCGTCCGAAGTAAAATATAAAAAGTTAACTGACTCCAACTAAATAACATTCGAACTCATTACATTCCGTCCACTGTTCCGCTAGTTCATTAATATGAATACAATTAACCGGCTTTACATTACGCGGTCAATAGTCTTAACATTTCACCGCTCTTTGATCACTCAGAATCGAGTGTTCCAACAGAGGCACTAACTATAATCATTGTGCTGATACTCGAAAACTGAAAAAGGAATAATAGAATACTACTTAATCCTTCGAAATTAAATGTAGATCAATCAGAAACTTGTTAGAATTAAGGGTAATCGTCAAGAGAATAACACACAGAACACTCAGTCAAGATCTGTTAGGTTAAACGGAGCATGACTTAAAGGTAAAATTTAAAGAATGAAGCAATGCATTGAGCAATTGAACATTACAAGAAGCGTTAAAAGGTTCCCTTCAAATCAACCTGGAAATTACATGCTAGGCAATGTAAAGGTATCTTATGATCGTGATGATTGACCGATTACCCTAGCAAGGTTTCGAAGATGAGAAATTAAGTCAAGCCCTGTTTAGCTGAGTAGGCTTAACCATAATCGGAGCATACATATATTTTTGTAGTTACGGTTAGAAATAACAATAATCGCACCAAAACAAAAGTCTTAGTAGTAAGGCATATGAGAGAGAGGTAGAAATGATCCCTTTAGTGTTCAAATAAGAACTTGTTATAATGATTTAGTTGCAACGTTGTTCCAATCTATTTTATCCTGGGCAATGTAAATACCTTCGTTCCCAATGGGATCTCAACTAATACAATTAAACCGTGTTCTTTTAGAGAGTTCTTTGGATATAAAGAAATTAAGAATGATCTATTTCATTACTATCGACATATCAAGTAAAGAATGAATCTGACGATCCATGCGAATTACAATTATTCTTTACTGCACCATCAAACTTACTTGGCTAAAATAGATAAATAAGGGGATGATATAAGAACTGATATTTGGAGGTGCGCTCTTTCTAGGCTGTAATTGCGATTTGCGTCTTGGTCTTCATCGTATTTGCACAATTCCCATTTCATCCGTAAAACAATTAATCTGTTCAGTTTTATATTTTATACATCAGACATGACCAGTCACCATGATGCTAATTTTTATTGACTGTCAACACTGGACAATCGAGCGCAATACCGTCAACCCTCTCCTTATGTGTCGATGGAGCAAAAAGACCAAAGGTAAATGCCTATCATGGATAATGCATGTGTTCATTGGTAGATAGCCTTTTGGTGGAGCGCCATTTAGATGTTTGGCATATGTACCATATGAGTCATTCATCTGATATCGTAGATCGAAAATAAGACCTCTAGATAGTTCTTCAAGATGAGCCGAAATTACCAAAAGTAGAAGACGAGAGTATGCACCACCTATTGGGATTATGACTTAAGTTGATATATGAGGGCATTGCTCATAGACTTTGACATTTTCATTTGTACGACAGATACGTAAATCATCGACAGTAGATTATGTAGCGTTCATTTTTCTGTAAATTGAAAATAAATCTCCGGGGATATTCCATTTAACAAAATCTTTTGATCTGTTTGTAGCTCTCTATAACGTATATTCATATTGAATTAATGTTTGTACGAGTCTCTCTGCTATAGTTATATTCTTCACCTTCAGCTGTATTTCTACAGGCCATGATCTCATTGCGAAAAATGGGCACCATTACAATATCTTGTATACAACATGACAAAGGGACCAGTATCTTACGATTAATTTAAGAAAAAATGCTCGACCAGATCAATTATCATTCATCAAACTCAATCAATTCACGTTTAATCCAAGGTGTTAAACCACTTTTTACTTTTACTTTTGATCGCAAACCAAACATCACGCTGGCCCATATGGCCACCGATGCATATACGTGAATTGGTTTCTGCTTTGGGGTGTTTTTAATTTATTTCAACCTTTGGCATACGTTAA